CTTTATGAATGATTTCCGATTTTTTATTTTTAATTTTCGCATATATTTCGTTGGCAACTTAACGAGCATGGTAATTTGGTGATTGAAATTTAAAATCCTGAACATCTTCGACAGACTGACGGTTGACCGTTTTGGCCGATAGCTACACCACCTATGGGAAAACAATGAACTGAATTTTAGGATAGTTATGCTATGCTGCTATTGCAGTATCTTAATTTCAACAGAAGCACTATATACTCGTTGAAATTTCATCAGTTAATGCCTAACAGATATCCCTTTAACAATGAACGCAGAAACAAACATCCTTTTCTAACTAACATATTTTAAAAGATGTCATCCATACAATTCCGGAAGGTAGTGATTTGCAACCTACATAAATGTAACATAGCAATGGATATAGTCTACATTTCGTTGCACATTCCGGATAATGATGTTGGCCGGATAATAATGTGCAAAAGATTATTTGCACAAAATGAATCTCATACAAAACAAGCAATAGTCATTTTAATCATACCGAAGCTATATCGCCTTTAATTTTGATTGGGAAAAATGCAATGCAAAAGTCACTAAAAATATCTAGCATACTTACAACCAATATATTTCGTTTTACAACCTTTTATTATACAAAATTATAATACAAACCTGCTTAAATTTTCCGCTGTTTTTACTTGGTTTAAGAATAAAAGTAATCCTACATTCGTGTTTTATTTCACCGTCTCCAAATGTAGCATTCAGAATTGTGGTATTTGTAACTTCATTTTTAATCACTTCGCGATATGCGACCTGGAACAAAATTTCATTAGACAAGTTTACAGCATTAAAAATTCAACTTTTTCAGCTTTCGAACTTCCAGGTTATTCTAAATCTATTTTTTAACTTTTAATAATTGAACAAAGGAAGGATTCAAAAACCTGCAACGGCCCCATAAAAACATTCAAGCCGTAATCACGCTGAAGTCTATCTTTGATTACTTCAATATGTAACTCTCCCATTGCACCAATAACAGTTTGACCGAATTCGTTGTCATAATGTATTTGCAGTGACGGATCTTCTACTGCTAGCTCTTGTAAGGCCTATAAAATATTCAATTCAAACGTATTAACTGAATTATTTTTTTATGCTAGATTTGTAATATTAATAGAGTGTATATTTTAAGCTTAAGTGTTCAAATTCAAAAAACAAAATAGTAATTTAGAAATTTTTAGTAATTTCAAAATTTATTTTCAGCAAAACCGCCAGAATTCAAAAATGAATTTCCCAAAATCTTATAAACTTCATTTAACTGGTATTCACAATGAAGAAATAACGATCTAAACTTCCTACCTTTTCAAACTTTACATTAGATGCTTCAGATGGTGCTTCAACAGTACAAAAATAAACTGGGTCAGGTGCTTCAATGCCTGCTAGCAAAACAGATTTTACAGAACCAGCTGCACGTCCAGGATGACCTGTAGTCTTTAAAACTGCTGAGTTTTATTCTGTTGTTCGAGAACCAAGATCAAAACATTTATCATGCCCATTAAGTACTTCAAAATCCTTAAAGCCTGATGGAAATAATAAAGGACCTTTTATAGAATTTGTTTAAGCTCCATTAAAGATTCAAATTAACAACTTTTACCGTTTGAAAAAACAAATTATAAACTCCAGCAAGATCTTCATCGGTTAGCTTTTGACGCCTTTCACTTGCCATTTCAGCCGCTCTTTTGTTTGCAACAAGTGTATCACCTGTAGCTGTAGACTTCATACCCGTTAGAACTGCAATATTTCCTGCCTGAAATAACGAAAGTTCCTTCATTTAATATTTCAGAAACCTATTAACCTAAAAACAGAAGAAAGTAAAGCTTTTCTAATTCAGGAAGCAAAACACAAATTTGAAAAACGCAAATTGAAAAACACAAACATAAATTCGATCAAAAGATATTTCCAGAATCGAAAATCAGTAAATAATACTGAGAAATCTAAAAATTATTGACAAGGAACCTTAACAGATGAAGTTAACTGTAGCTGATCACTATACGGAATATGAACATTAAATTTATTTTCTATAGTGTTCTTATTAGCATTATACAACGAATCCATATTCTTGATTTCACCAGTATATATACGCGCGTAGGTTAGCTGTCCAAATCTTTTGTCATGTCCAATCTATAATATTTAATATGAGAGAAAAAATGGAGGAAAAAGTAACATGCTAATAATCTTTTCCCGTTTAAAACAAATTCTTTTCTATTCCTGCTTCTCATACACTCAAAAATTTTTATAATTGTTTAGATTAATCATAAAATACATTTGGCAGTCTGACCGATTTGGTATAGCTTATTCATGAGCTTATTCATAATTAAAGCTGTGTGTTATAAAAAATATCAATAAGTGAAAGCTTAAACAGCCTCCTATTTCCTACTATCCTTATTAAAGTCAGTTAGAAGAAAAACTACATGGGTAAAAAAAAATGAAAACTTAATCAATTAAAATTCGACCGGTTTAAATGAGATATAATCCAGACTAAAATGATAAATATAGATCACTTTGAAAAATAAAGATATAGCAAGTCCTTGAATCTTCTTACTTAACACATAATTTTATAAAATTGACAGCGATAAAGAGAATTCATATAAACTAACCTTAAATACCAAAGCACTTAAATCGTTTCCAAAGACTTTATTAATAAGACCATTCTTCTCTGCCGGACAAGGCAAACAATTGATGACCAAGTCAAGGACTGGATTTACACTTTGCGCACATCTGCAAAACATCGCTGTTCTATTTTGGACGATGAAATCAAGTCGCAGTCTACCTTAATGCTGATCCACAAGTCACCGGAATAACTCGCTGAGTAAGTGTAAGTCGTCTCATAGCATTAAGCGCTTCTGCATTTAAAGCATCGTCTTCATTGCTGGTTTGCAAAAATATATCAGCAAAATGATCGTCCAAGTCCGCCAATTTTGAAAACATTTCTTCGCGACCAGTCATCATTTGTTCAAATCTAAACATTCCGTCGTAGCAGCTTTTTTTTGAAATCTCAAAATTATGTTCCTCACAATATCAGCTACTACTTAACAATATATATATATATATATATTTATAAGAAACACACATAACAAATTTCATCATAGAAGCAACTCACTGAGGACAGTCCTCTTTCACATCGGTCCATTGCGCTTCGTCATCCAAATCAAAATTTAAGCAGCGCTTGTTGATTACATCCGCAACTGCCACAAAACGCTTATCTTTACATGTAAGGGGAATACAAACCTTAAAAATGTCAGCTATATGAAATGAAACGTAAAGCATTTCGAAGGAAATTGGTTAAACGAATGAAAAAAAGCAGCTACTTCGTCTCCTTTAGAATTAAATATGAACTTGAGCAATGGAAAAAACATACATTGATGGGATCTTTTAGTCCCAATCTCTCTGTTATCGAATCAACAGATCTGCAAAAATTCGCAGTTTGTTTATCCATTTTATTCAAGAAAAAAACTGATGGAACAGAAAATTTCTTCGCTTGTCGCCATACAGTTATAGTTTGTGCTTGTACACCAGCTGATGCATCCAAGACAGTTACAGCACCATCTAACACCCGAAGACATCTTTCAACCTGTAGTAAATAAGCATCTTAAAAAAAGTGACTTAAATTTGACACTAACTTTTATTTTATGTTTTCTAAACTGCTCTATGTAAACTAACAGAATTTTAATTATACAGCATTTTACAGTGATATAAAGATAGCACATTGTATTGCGAATCAAATTTCATCCAGTGTGGGATGAAAAATTCATACTTCTAGAGTAAAATCGACATGACCGGGTGTATCAATTAAATTGATTCTATGTTTTTTCCAAAACAATGTTACTGCTGCAGACTGTATTGTAATACCCCGTTCACGTTCTAACTCCATAAAATCCGTTACAGTATTTCCTGAAATTATATTTTTTAATACTGGCTTTATTTCAGCTACATTTATGAAATAACTTGAAATAAATTTAGAAAAATAACAACAGACCAGAATCAACATTTCCTAAAAACTTTGTTGCACCAGCAAGATATAATAAGCGCTCCGTAACCGTTGTCTTCCCTGCATCAATATGCGCAATAATCCCAATATTACGTATCAAATTCGGATCCACATCCAAATTCACTGTCTTACTCGAAACTGAACCTGAAATGTACTTTACATAAAACTATATCAGTATAATTTTTAGGTAATAAATAAAGTAATAAAGTATTAACTTGTCCAGTAACTGGTTGAAATTCTTCATCTTTATCTTCACATTGATAATCTTCCAAAAAAATAACAACTTAATAAAAATATTATGCATTTATGATGTTAAATCACTTTATTAAATGCATATTTTTTATGGTGAGCTTGCCTGGCTGATACGTAGACTGAAAAAACTGGAACTGTTCTTTGATAAATTGAAATTTACCCCGTGTAGTTTTTCCCATTTCTTAGTATCAAACTAATATACGAACAAGAAGTAAATGTTAATTGGTAAATCATATGAATTTGCGAATTAATTTCATTTGTCGAGCGCCTGGATGGTCATAAAATTAATAAATATGGTGAGGAAGTGCCTTAATCGGTATGTTCAACAATAATTATCTTTTGAAATGACATCAAACTAAAAAGATTAACCTTTTGGTATTCTTGGTTTGTAAGTGCATAGCATTCGGATATGACATTCATTTCTAAGAAACCATTTCAGTTTAAGCTTCTTCATATCAGTGTGAAGTAATCAATTCTTGTTTCAAAACTTTTTACATTCCTGAAATATTAGCCACTGATCAGTGCAATGAAACCTCTTTTAAATTCACCAGAAAAACCATACGTATTGAATGACTGATCATAATAATAGTAATGATATAAAAGTGATAATGATAACGATAATAAGAGTGAAATGAGTGACAATGATTGTGCTGTCATGGGAATGACGTCATCTTGGTAATAGCTGATAGTAAAAGTGATAATAGTGATAATAAGAATATAGTGAAAGAATAAGGAAAATAGCGAATACAGTTCGGGAAAAAAACAATACCCCTAATGAATTCACATCCAAAATAAAACTAAGCAAGACATTTTAATACAAGATCTAACGGGCCATGATGGTTTGTGCCGGAAGGTCGGGAGTTAAGATGGGTCATTGTTGAAACTGCATACCGTCCTTGACGAACGATGATATCATCCGTCTCGTGCTACTCATACCATTTATTTCCATCCTTATTCTCTCTCAAGTGCAGTATTTTCGACGTGTATCCATCAGTTTTCTATTTTCATGCGTAATTTTTTGCAAATTCCGCTCAACAATTATCTCCATTTCTCCCACTAATCTTTCTTTGTGCATTCATTCCACAAAATAGTTGATAGTTTTGATCATTTCCC